GCGGCCGCTCGCGGGGCGCTGACCAGCGCCAGTGGTGCTGAAAGGGCCGCGCGGCCCGCTTTAAATAGCCGCTTCGGGGGCCATGTGATGCCGCGGGCTGCGCCGAGCGCCGCCGGGGCCCCCGTCAATAGGCTTTTTGTGTAGCGCCTTGGCACCGCCGCTGCACGCTCCCTCATTATGCCCCTTGTTCGCCAAAGGGTCTCGTCTTCCCCCCGTTGCGCTCTTCTTCTCCTTTGGTCGGATCAGCCCGATCCTACGGTGCGCCTGCTTGGGACGCAGGAGGACGACGAGACTTTGTTCTCCTTCCCTCTTTCCGCAAACTCCTCCCCCCCCCCTCCGGGTCTTTTTAGGCACGTCTAGGTTTTGCCTGGTGTAGACATAGGACGCAGCCCAGGCTCTGGTGTGGGACTGGAACTCAGAAGCCCTGGTGACACTTCATTCCCAAGCGTCTGGAAGTTGGAATCAACCGACATCACGACACCTTCCCGAATCCTTTTACAGTACTAACCTCCGAAGCGCACTTTTAAGGAAGCAGAAATCTTCAAGATTTGCATCCCAGATAGTCAGCCAGTCCTCAAAACAGGGCGCAGGGTACCTGGCTGTCAGTGCAGCCTCTAATCATTCAGTGCAATCTTCAGGCCGGTCCAAAACACCTTTACCTGTCGTTGCTTTCTTCCGAGTAAGTGATTAGCGGCCATGATTCCTCATTTAGAATGCCAGGATCTTAAGTATACTAATTAAGGATTGTGTCCCGTAGACTGCAAAACCCACGTACTTAGGAGTCCTGTTTGGAAATAAGTCATTTTCATTTTCGAAAATTTCTGTTTTCAAATACCGCTGGCATTTTACAAGTCCCCAACTCTGAAACAAAAGCAGGATAAAACTTCATCTCTGTCCGCCCCAAATAATTTGTTTCTCTAGCTGAGTTTTCCCTTGTCCTTTTTAAACAAGGAAAATGCCACCGTCACCGCCAATTCATTCCATGTTTGATGTACTGCTGTATGTACCGGCACTCGATTCGCACAGGAGAGACACCCATCTAAGAAGTCAATGGGCAAAGTGAACCGGGTATCTTTCGATTCTATGCTACTTGCGCAGGCCGAACCTCCTCTGATTTCCACTCTGCGAGAGGATATTGCTTCACTAGTAGCTGCTGCTGCTGCTACTGATGATGGTGATCATTTACACAGTAGTATTATAATACATATCGAAATGACAACTCTTTGAATCCTTGCCAAAAAAAACCCCCGTCAAAAATAGTGGAGGAAACAATTGAGGTAGCGAAATACAAGCTTACCAAAAGGTTAATGTGATTAAATGTATTTACACATCTATGAAGTTTTGTAACACCTCGAAAATTAATATTAAGGGTTAAGACAAATGCCTTCTCCAGTCTTACTTATGCAGCAAGATCAGTTCCCAACAATGACATAAAGTCATGAATAATATAAAGCAGTCATACAAAATCCGAACATTTTAGTCGGTGCATTGCAGAAAGTGGCACCATCATCCTCATGATCGCTCATCATCATCACCATCCTCGTCTTCATCAAGACTCCCTGTCCCGATGGACTTGCAAACGGTTTTGAGAGACGGAAGGCCAACTCAGTGGAGTTCACTTCCCAGTAAACCGGCTTAAGAGGAATCACAACACGACTGCCAGGCCAAATCAAGGCGCGACCTGCCAGCGGGGAGATTTCGGAACCATCGGGGGAGGCGAAGCCCTGGAGTCCAGCGGCCCTCTTTGCCATGCATTCCTGTGGGGCATAAGAGGGTGTCTTCTGCAGCCTCCATTTGGGCATTAAAATCCTGCCTAAGGCTGCATCCCATATGTGTCCTAGTCTGGCAACAAGTTCCACTGAATGCAGTGGAGCTTGCTTTTGAAGTGACAACCGTGGAAACGAACCACCCACTGAATGCAGTGGAGCTTGCTTTTTTTGAAGTGACAACCGTGGAAACGAACCAGAAAGGTGCTTTCCGACACAAGGTATTTCCTTTCTTTCCAAACCCTCATTCTCTTCCCCTACACCCGCATTTTTTAATTTCTGGAGAGATCCCGTCTTGTCTTCCCCAAATATTCGTGTTTTGTTTGGCTTTCCAAACCCTCCTTCTCTTCCCCTACACCCGCATTTTTAATTTCTGGAGAGATCCCGGAGCCCTCCTGTCTTCCCCAAATATTCGTGTTTTGTTTGGCTTTATCGAAACCCGCCCAACATCTCTGAGCACCCCCAAGGGCCCTACGATGTCACTGGAGTAGTCGCTGCCGATAGATTTGGGAAGACAGGAGGAGATTCCAACAGGCAGGAGCCAAGTCATAAGGACAGAAGGGGCGCGATTTCCTAATACTTTGCTTTCGGCACATCCGGAGATTCAAAGCTAAGAATCTCAGGGCAGAAGTTAGTGAGGAAGACGGGGAAGGGAGCTTGATTTTGAGCAAGAAATACTGCAATCTTTCTCAACAGGTCGCCTTCCAGATGTACTGGACGACAATGTCCATCATCCCCAGGCCAGCTGTTTCACGTCGGGTAGAATCCTTCCTGTGGGTCGAGGTAGGTGCTTTTTACACTAATTAAACTATAGGCCTCTACGATGTTTTAAGAATCCCGTGTAATCCTTTTATTTACTTATTTATTGTTCTGTGCCATCAAGTCGGAACGACTTATAGCGATCCTAACATGGCTTTCAAGTTAAGTGAAACATTTAAGGAGTGATTTACTGGTTCCAATCCCCCAGTGAGTTCCTGTGGCCGAGCGGGGACTCGAACCCTCGTCCCCAGATTCCTAGACCTTCGCTCTCTTGAGTACATCACACTGGGTATCTCCCGTGAAATTCTAATCACTGATATATTCTTTCCGTTCCTAATCCTCGCCAGCCCAGGCTAACTATCAAATGGCAAAAGGATAATTTAAATATCTGTTTAAAAGCACCATGCATCTAAAAGAAGAGTTACGTGAGATGTTTTATAAGGCATTAAGGGCCAGCGATACCTGCGGGAGGTGGGGAAGATAAGGTAACATAGATGAAGACAACAACCAAAGAGTCCTGTGTGCTCGGAGGGAGACCCGTTTCTACTACAGTATGAATGTTGTCAGTATAGCCCATTTAGGCAGATGCCGTTTGTGTACGTGCGACCCAGTCGATGCTGTCCTCGGGCTTCGACCTCGGACTCTGCTTGTTTACGAGTGCATTTGCAGACGTGCGAATGCTGTTCCTCGCGCCCCCGCCCCGCCCCTCGGGGCCCCCTTCTCCCAAACACGTGCGATCTGGAGACTTTTCCTCCGGATGTCAGGATCCCCGACGTTCCGGGTTATTTCGGGCTAGATTTAATGGGGGAGTTGGGAGATCTATCTGTGGAAAATAACCTTGTCTTCATACTTCCACACTTGAAGGTCTAGGCACGTTAAAAGACTAAACAATTTATTTCAGTGTCAGTTCTGAATTATATAATCCATTTCCTCAGATACCTGAGGAATTGTTATCCATGAATGCTTGTAACCAGAAATACTCTAACGAGGCTACTTACCTCTTTGAAAATTCCCAGGTAAGTTTACCTATCATCTCTTGTTACGTGATCGTTGGTGGTGATCAAATATGCTTCTATTTCCGATGAATACGAGTACACACCTGTGCCTTATTCCGTCCGTCCACCCACCCCCACCCCCAATTTCCAACACACACACACACACACACACACTCCCCCAATTTCCAACACACACACACACACGCACCGCGCACGTGCCCATTACATGATCTGGGCGTGGAATTATATCTGTGGCGAAGAAGATAACGCGCAGTTTTGTTTTTCAGACTCGGAGGGGTTTTAAAGGGGTGGACGGGGGAAATGGATTTTTCCGCCAAAGAACACCGGGGAGGGAATGTTCTGCCCACTCTGATGCGTCTTTTCCTGGCCATTTAAGGAAAGAAAATAGAATTAGTCCAGAAGAGTCTCTCTGTTTTGCAGTACTGACCACGATTCACCTCTTTGGAATGCAAATTATCTGACTTTTGAAATATAAAACATTCCCCATTGAGACCCATGCAATTTGATTTTTCATATATATATATATGAAAAACTGAAAAGGGGTAGATGGAAAGTGGGGCTAACTATGGAGAAGATTTAAACCTGCATGTCACATGTGCCTGAAGGGAGCATGCATCTATTCCACCCCCACCCCACCCCACCCCAAATAGCCTGGGAAGGACAGGGAGAGATGGATCCGAGCCACGCATTCGGCCCAGTCTCCTTTATGCCCCCTGACTGTGCGCTCAGATCTGTGCGGAGGGGGAGGCAGGACGGCAGGGGCTGTTGCTGGCGACCCAAAGCGCCATCATTCCTGCTGTAGAGTCAACGCTCTTGGCTGTAAAAAGGGATCCCGGCTTGCACTGCCAGGGGCCTCGTTTCCTGTCCGCTGAAGGTCCAGAACGGCTCCCTCAGGGCTTCAGCCGAGAACTTCTCCGCCGAGAGAAATGCTTTTGGCAGGGAACCCCTCGCAGCCCTGTCCTTCGTTCTCTGCAAGCACGAAAGGCGGCGGCCAGACATTTTTTCCACTTTAAGCCGCGCCCTTCACTGATCCCCCGAGACAGAAACCATCGGAGCTCTCCTCCGAGCCCTGAGTAAATGGAGCCAGGATCGGGGGATCGCAGCTTTTGCCTCTGCCCCGGCGGCTCATTTTCCAGCCACCCTGGACCTCAACTGAGGATGCCTGTTCGCATCCTGGCAAACGGCTGTTGAGATGGAGCGGTTTCTGGGTCCCCGAAGCCTTCTTGTGCTCTCGGGAAGGAACCCCAATGTACTAGGTTCAGGAAGGTTAAGGGTTAACTAGCCCTGAATGTACACCAAACTCAGAGCTACTTAGGAAATTTTATGTGGATTTGCTCCATTGTCCTTTTGTTGGTAATGTGGCCTCTCTCCCCCCCTCCCTCCCTCCCTCCCTCCAGCCGCTGGACCTTATTGAATGTCATTGAAGAAAGTTTTGAATGCCAGATAAAGAGAGGCGAATTAAACTGTGTGACAGCAGAGGATAAGCAAACACAAAGGCGACTCTGTCACACTTTGGGCGAAATCCGCCGGCTTTTTACCAAGCCTCTTCGCTATGATTGAATTAAGTAATAGGAAAACATTTTCTTTCAGTTTAGAGGCATGAAACAAAAAAACTTCAAAGCCAAGAACACTTTT